CATCTATCAATGGTGTCAAGAAAGAAGAGCCCACGGCAAAGATTCAGATTACTCAGTCATCACCAGGAGAGCCCCTGGCTTCTGTCCCTCAGCCACCACCCAACCCCAAGACTCATCCTCTCTCTGCTGCCACCTCAGATCGAAATAAAGGAAATGGGAAATCTGATCATCGGACACAGTCTGCCAATATATCTCCAGTGACCTCAACATACTCTTTCCCTTCCACAGAAGGAACTCCGGAAACAGCTAGAAAAGAAGAGAGAAAAGCTTAAGAGAGACGAAGAACAATGGAAAATAGAAGAGAAACAAAAGAAAAAAGAGAACGACATGGTCTTCAAAGCATGGTTGCAAAAAGAGAGAGAGAAGTTTCTAGAAATGTGGAGAATCCAGCTTGCTAAGCAAATTGAGGATGTGAACAGCAGACAAGAAGACAGAGATCCACAAGAAGCTTTCCGATTATGGCTTAAGAAAAAGCATGAGGCGCAGATGAAAGAAAGAAAGTCAGAAGAACTAAGAAAGCAAGAGGAATGCTTATTCTTCTTCAAGGGAACAGAAGGCCGGGAAAAGGCTTTTAAACAATGGCTAAGAAGGAAATGAATAGAGAAAATAGCAGAGCAGCAGGGTGTTGGAGAGAGAGCTAGACAGCTACAACTAGAAGCAAGGCACTCGAAACACTTACAGAGCTACCTGTATAGTATGTCAGAAGCCAAATCTTTTCCTTTACTGATCATTATAACTGAAGGAATCTATTAAACATCTGGTAGCTCCTATTATCTAAAAAAAAAAGATGTTTGAAAATGAAATATTCCAAGAAATAAATTATTCCACAAATTAAAATTGATTTTAAGGGACAAATTTATGTTGAGTAGAGTGTAAAGATTTGCTTCCTCTTCATGCCATCAGTTACAGTTCATTGACTTAAATTCGTTACCAGTGTGTGCTTGACATTTTAGTTTTTTGAATGTAAATGTTTATTGATTTTTTTTTTGTCTAGTAAGGTGTGAACAGGTGCCGTATCTCATATTTTGGATTAAGCTTTCATTTTGTGTTTTAGCAATTGAAGCAAAATGTAGATAGCTAGTTTGAGCCTTTTTGTGGAAAAGTCACCCATACTGTTGAGATCTTTACCGAGCCCTCATCACAGACCAGTCATAGTTATTGAAGCAGAAGGTAAACTTCCTTGGTCATTTTGTAGGGAGAAGGGGTCTGTAAATAGGGCTACTCCTGACCAGAAAGAGTTAAAGCTTCACTGGAGAAAGCAACTAACAACACAAGAGGGCAGGCAGACAGGCAGAGCACAGGGGGAGCCAGGTAGCCACCCCGCACCCACCTCCAATAAAATGCAAAGGAGACAAGGCAGCCACTTAAAAGACAGTTCTTACTCAATATATAAAAGTACACTTATCCATCTGTGTACATATAGAGTACATACAGATACACACATATATAGACGCACGCGTGTGTGTATGTGTTCCTGCTCTAGGGCCACTATCACCTTAATTGCTCACTTGGCCTGGTATGTAAGGCCTCCATACATTTTGGACATAAGACCTTGACAGGACAAAGGAAAGCCAGATGAGGCTCACGTAGGAGTTTGCATGTAGATGGTGATACCCCGATTAAGGGTTTTAGGGGCTGAAATAGCCAATTAGGTTGTAACAAACTGTGTGGGGGGAGGTCTCTTTCTGCCATGCTCATAAAAAGGGCCAGGTGCAAAAGGCCCTTGGGTCCTCCATCTTTCTGGAGCCCCTGTTCTTCATTCGGGTAGCTAGCTACTCCTTTTCCCCCCTTTCCAGTAAAGTGTCTAATAAAATGTCTTCCTTTCCTTAAACTATATTTCTAATTTTTTATTGATATGGAGGTTACGAATCCCGGAGCTGCCTGCCTGCAGCAGACATGGGGAGCAGTGCTTGTCCCCTGGATGCAACAATTTTTTAAAAATAGCTTTACTGAGATATAGTTCCCTTGGCCATTTTCCCATTCCCCGTTTTTTGGTTTGTTTGTTTGCTGTTGTTTTTTTCTTTTTCAGTTCTGGGAATGGAACTCAAGGCCTTAGGCATGCCACGGAGATGTCCTACCACTGAGTTACATCCCTGGCCCTACTTTTAAAACCATTTTCTGTGGTGCTTTTAATGTGTTTTTCAGATATCCATTGCTTCCTTTTCCAAGTGGTGGACAGAAATAAGTGGGTTGAGGTGTCCAAAAGGCCATTCCAAATGTAGTGGACAGGCAAAAGGCCTTGAGGTGAAAGTGGGATGAAGCCTTGAGAACATTGCTGTGGATAAAGGGAAGAAACAAACAAGGTCGGTGCCAGAATGATGAACTATAAAGTAGGTGGTAAGAAAGATAAACTTGTGCCTTTCTCAGATTTCTTTGGAAAATGAGGTCTTTTTGTGTGTGTGAACACAGATAAAGAATAGAGGAGACCGCACCCAGCCTGGGGGAAATATCTGTGATGTCCAGACTAGAGCAGCCTCCTGTGCTTTGCTCAGCTCTGCCTCAGTGCCTTGGCATCGAAATCTCTTTCTCTCTGCCTCTTATTTGAACTCTGCTGCTCTCTGACTGCCCTCTGTGGCATCCTAACCCCCTCCTGGCCACTTCGTACCCTCATCCGCAGCACTGTGGGGTTCTCTGCCCTTCTGCTCTTTCATTCTTACCTTGCTCCGGGCCCCTCCAGCGGTTTCTTATCTCACAGAGAATAGAATTCAGAGGCCCGAAGAGGCTTCCCAGGTTCTGCAGAACCTGGCCCCTGCTCCCTGTGGTCTCAGTTCTCACCCCTCTCCATCTGTGCTCCTTGTGTCCGGCCACACAGAGCTCCGGTTCTGCCACACCCCTAGGGTGCTCCCATTCCAGAACCTTTGGACTTGCTCTTCGCTCAACCTGGAATGCACTTCCCCAGGTCTTGTTTTGTTTCCCTTCTTCATTAAAAGCTCAGTCAAATGTCCCCTCCTCAGAGAAGCTTCCCTGACCATGCGGCAGTGGAATCGGCCAGCCTGTTACTCTTTCCCGCCTCTCTTGCTCTTCTGTGTTACAGGGGATTATAGTTTGCATTCCTTTTGCATTTGGTGTTATGTCGCTCTCTCACTGGAGTGTAGTCTTTGAAGTCAGACTTAGTGTGTTATGTGGACTGCAGTATCCTTGGTGCCCGGAATGTTACCTTTACATGGTGGACACTTAATACTGTTGAGTGCACATTGACATACCGTAGGACTCAGACCCAGTCTGTCTTCCCCAGAAGAGGGCTCTGTCATGTTGTCCAGTATGGACCCCATTCTTGGGTGAGACACCAGGTTAACTGCCCTACCACTTCTGGGCAGCTTGTTAAATCAGGTGCCCATCCTTGCTCCACCCAACCAGTTGTAGCCAGAACAGTAAGATCATGTGGCCTTTTTTTCTTGATATCCCTTTCTTTCCATTTGGAGGCTGGTCCTGCTACAGTGTTTAAGCTTTGATTCCTAGTTCATTATATAGTTTTTTGTCAGATCCTGAGGTGTGGAACACTTGCTTCCCATTTTGAGCAAAGCATCTAGAGGAGTGATAATTTGGGAAAAATACAGAGCTGTTTGTTCCTCTCTGGTTCTTGACTGTTTTGTCTTTCCACCACCGCCTTCTTCTTTTTCTCTCTCTCTCCTCTGTCTCTCCTCTGTCTCTCCTCTGTCTCTCCTCTGTCTCTCCTCTGTCTCTCCTCTGTCTCTCCCTCCTCTCCCTCCTCTCCCTCCTCTCCCTCCTCTCCCTCCTCTGCCTCCTCTGTCTCCTGCCATTTTGCATGGGCCTCTGTCTCATTCAAGAGCCTGCTTAGCTTCAGTTCTTCTTCTTTTTTTTTTTTGGTGCTGGGGATTGAACTCAGGTCCTTGCGCTTGCGCAACAGGTGGGAAAACCACTGAGAGCTTCAGCTCTTCTTGCCTCTGAGAAACCTTTCCATTCACCCACTTTGTGTAATATTTTCTCTCCTTTGTTCCTTACAGAAGAAAACTGCACTGAAACATTCATTCCTTTCTTCATCCTTTCATTTTTTTGGCTTTTTTTTAAAAGTTTGATATCTGAAAACCTACTTTGTGTAAGGCAGTAATATGCCGTATTCTGGGCTTTCTCACAAAATACCCAGGTTGTGACACTGTATTTGGGGAGACAAATTAATTGTGTTTTTTTTTTGTTGTGTTTTGTTTTTTTGGTACTGGGGATTGACCTCAGGACCTTGTGCTTGCCAGGCAGATGGTGGAACCACTGAGCTAAATCCTGTCCCTATTTATTCAAGTATTTATTGAGGCTGGGATATACTGGTGAATAAAAACAAAAATTCTTATTCTCATGGACCTAGGATTTTGTTAAGAGAGATATATTAGACAACTATATAAATGAATGTTAAATTACAGCCATATTGAATTTTATAAAAGAGGGCTCCATTGTGTTTGAATCAACTTCAGGATGTTCCAGTCAAGAGAGCCAGGGACAGCTTCTTTGAGGAAACAAAGGCTGAACTGAGATCTGAAAGCACAGTAAGAATAAACTAGGCATGGACCACAGGGGAGAGGGAATGGAAAATGACACAGTCTGGTGGTAAGAGAGTGCTTGGTGGATTTGAGGAAGCCCAAGCATGGAGAACTGAGTAGGGAGCTATGAGCTGAGGCTGAAGGGCAGACTAGAGTCAGATCTTGCAGGGCTTTGTACAGCATCCTGGTTCTTACTCTGTGAACAACAGGATAACTCTGAAGTGCTGTAAGTAGAGAGGAAAGAAGAGAAAGGTATAAAAAGCATTTTTATTTTTAAACACCAGCCTGAACACTGAGGATAATAAATGGAGTCAGTGTAGCTGTGGGCCATAAGAACTGGGGAATGCCAGTTAGGAGGCTGTAGTAATAGTCTAAATGAAAGTTGAGGTTAAGGGGCTCTACCCTCACTTCCTGTGAAATGCATTTTTAAAAATTTGTTTTGTTTTTTGAGACAGTCTTATTATGTAGCCCAGGCTGGCCTCGAACTCCTCCTACCTCAGCCTCCCGAGTGCTGGGATTAAGGTGTGTGCCACCACATCCAGCTTCCTATTGGTATTTTAAAACATAGAAATTTGTGAAAAATACAGGGCTGAACTATGTAAATGCATTCTACCCTTTGTTGCATCTAGAGGCTAGGAGGGGCTTAGAAGGAAGCATAGGATAGCAGAGGAGGTGAGAATTATAGACAGGTAAGAGACCCAAGGTGCAGCCTTCCCTTTTGCCCTCCCAGATACTTTGCCTTGCCTGCCTCTTCAGAAGCTACTTATGTCATGGAGATCGTCCTTTTTGCCCTAGAAGACACATTAGTCAGGGACACAAAAGTGACAGCCTTATTTCTTAGTTGTTCCCATTTTCACCACTATTGGACACTTACAGAATCCATAACTTCAGAAGCAATATCATTTCAGACTATAAGCAAAGTCCCCCATGGTTTCCATGACTCTCTGAGTTCTCTGCTGCTGGAATTCAGTCTCCTTGTGTTCCCAGCTCTGAACTCTGCCCTCAGCTTCAGCTGTGCTGCTCACTCTCCCAATACAACGTCAAGCCCAGAGGCACAGCAGAGTCCCGGGAGAGCCAGAGAAAATAGTAGAGCAAGCGACAGGAGGTCACAGAAGTCCAGATGGGTGGCATCCAAGACTTCCGCTCTTGAGATAGTGGCAGTAATCCATTCTTGGTAGTAGGTCACATTGGTGTAGACCCCAGGAAGACTTTTACCGCATTCTGGACCCCAGCTTACCAGTCCTATCTGGATCCATACACCATTGATGTGACATGCCAGAGGCCCTCCAGAGTCACCCTAAGGAAGAGATAAAGGTTATGAGTACAGTGGAAAAGGACATGAGGAGAGAATAGTCACAAGGGATAGAGTTTAGAACTGGGCCATGAGACTCACAGGGCTGCAGAACTCTGGGGAGCTGGACTTTCCACTGCTTTAGGGAGAGGGCATAGGGATTCTAGAGTCAGAGAATTTGAAATTGGTGGAGACCTTAGCAAAACACATTGATAATTTCAGAATATTCATCTGATTTGTGATAAAGCCAGTAACATTAATGTGATAACTTTTTCATCATCAGATTTTTCTTTCACAATGTTAAATTTATCTAGTAGAATGGACTGCTTTTATTTTTGTTTGTTCAGTTCTGCCTTTATTCTGTTAAAATAATTATTTTTTAAGTAAAATGATAGTGATAGTAGTTAGTAGTATGTCTCTTAATCTTGCTCTTTTTTCTAACAGATTTTACCTGTAATTCAGATACCATATAATTGACCGATCTAAAGCACACAGGTTTTTGGTATGTTTATAAAGTTGTGCTATCATTATCATCCCCTTATTCTTTCTTTTTTCTTTTTTCTTTTTTTGAGACAAGGTCTCGCTATATAGTTCAGGCTGGCTCAAACTCATGGTAATCCTCCCGCTTCAGCCTCAACCTCCCAAGTGCTAGGATTACAGGCATGTGCCACCATGCCCAGCAGCCATGAAAATGTTGTGAGAACATTTTCCTTATCCCCAAAAGAAACCTCATTCCCATTATCACCCCCTTTTCTTCCCAACTCTTCTAGCCATAGGCCAACTGGTAATCTGTTTCCTGCTTCTATGGATTTGCCTTTGATGGATATTTCATATAAATGGAGTCATACAATATGTGGTCTTTTGGAACTACTTTCTTAAACTTAGCATACTTTTTTCAAGGTTTATCCCCGTGACAGCATCCATCAGTACCCCTTCTCACTTTATGGTTGAGTAATTACATTGATGCACCACATTGTGTGTGTTTATTCATTCATTAGCTGGTGGATATTTTGGGTTTTTCCACTTTGGGGCTATTAATAAATAAGGCTGCTGCGAACATTCATGTGTAGATTTTTATATGTGCTGTTTTAATTTCTCTTGGGCATATATCTAGGAGTGGTATTCCTGATATAGTAACTCAGTGTTTAATCTTTTGAGGAACTATCAGTTCTCCAAAGGCGCACTATTTTACCTGCAAATAGTTGTCTATGAAAGTGCCGGCTTTTCTGCATCCTTGCCAATTCTGAATTGATCATTGCCATCCTAGTAGATGTGAAGTAGTAACTCAATTGAAACTTAGGTTTACATTTTCCTGATGGCTACGGGTAGTATTTTTTTCATGTACTTATTGACTACTGATGTATCTTCTAAGAAATATCTATTCAGATTCCCTGCTCTGTAACAAAATTGTATTGCCTTTTTATTATGGAGATTCAAATGTTCTTTATACATTGTGGACACAGAGCCTTCATCGTAAGTATGACTTGCAAAGAAATATTCTCTCCTATTTCATGGGTTAACTTTTTACTTCATGGTATCCATTGGAGCATAAAAATTCTGAATTTTGTAAAACTCTTGCTTATGCTTTTACTGTTATATTTAAGAAAACACTACCCAATCCGAGTCGCAAGGATTTACCGTGATTTTCTTCCAAAAGTGTTGTGATTTTAGTTCTTATATTTAGGGTTGGATTCATTGTGAGTTAATCCTTGTATATGGTAGGTGTCCAAGCTTATTCTTTTGCATGTGGATTATTTGTTGAAATAAGCATTATTTGTTGAAATGACCATTCTTTGCTCTTGAATTATTTTGTTACCATTGTCTAAAATTTATTAACTATAAATACAAAGGTTTGTTTCTAGACTCGTTTCTTTTCTATTCTGTTCATCTATATGTGTCTAGCCTTATGCTAGTACCACATTGTCTTGATTACTATTGCTATGTAATAAGTTTTAAAAATACGAACGTGTGAGACTTTCAGCATCTTTCTTCAAGATTATTTTGGGTCCCTTGGATTTCCATATTTTATTCTCAGCTTCTCAAAATTCACAAAGAAACCAGCTGGGATTTTGGTAGGGATTGTGTTAAACTACAAATCCACTTAGAAAATGCTACCATTTAAATGAGGTTGTCTTCTCATCAGAGAACTTGGAATGTCTTTTCATTTAGTTAGCTCTTCTTTAATTTTAAAAATGTTTTGTAGCTTTCAGAGTACAAGTTTGTTAAATTTATTACTTTTGTTAAATGTATTGCTAAGTATTTTATTTGTTTTTTGGTGCTGAGGAATGAACCCAGGATCTTGTTCGTGGTAAGCACACATTCACCAACAGCTACACCCTTAGCCCTTCCTAAGTATTTTGTTTTTGTGCTATTGTAAATAAAATGTTTTCTTAATTTTCTTGGATTATTCTACCTATAAGTATATATAAAGAGTTTATTCTTTTGGTACCAGGAATCAAATTCAGGGCCTTGTGCTTGACAGGCAGGCACTGTGCCACTGAGCTACATCCCTGGCCCTCTTCTTCTAAGCATATAGAAATACATTTGTTTTTAATATATTGTTCCTGTATCCTACAACTTTGCTGAATGTGTTTATTCTAATTTGGTGGAGGGTCATGGAGTTCTTTGATTTCCTATGTTGACTGTGGGTTTTGTTTTCTTTTGTTTTCGAGGCAGTCTTACTCTGTAACTCTGGCTGGCTTTGAACTCACTGTGTAGCCCAGGCTGGCCTCAGACTTGCAGCAATCCTCTTGCCTCAGCCTCTTGAGTGCTGGGATTACAAGCATGCACTACCACAGCCTTTTTATTATTGTTGTTATTGATGAGTCTCACAGTTGCCCTGGCTGTCCTCAAACTCCTGGGCTCAAGTGATTCTCCTGCCTCAGCCTCTCAAATATTTGGGAGTATAGGGCTGTGCCGCTGCACCTGGCTCAGCTGTGGGCTTTTTGTGGATGCACTTAATCAGTTTGAGAAAGTTCCCTTCTGTTCCAAGATTGTTGAGTATTTTTTATCATAAAGGATTATTGGATTTTTGGAAATGCTTTTTCTGTGAATCTTGACATGATCATACAGCTTCTGCCCTTTAGTCTGTCTGACATGGCGTGTTACATTTATTGATTTTTGTTTCTTGTTTTTTTGTTTTGTTTTGTTTTTGGTACCGGGGATCGAACTTGGGACCTTGCGCTTGCGAGGCAGGCACCGGAACCACTGGGCTAAATCCCCGGCCCCATTTATTGATTTTTAAATTTTAAATCAGCCTCACATTCCTGGGATAAATTTCAGTTGGTCATGGCCTATAATCCTTTTGATATGATGTTAGATTTGGCTTGCTAGTATTATGTCAAGTTCTGTACCTGTCTTAGTAAGAGATACTGATCTGTGGTTTGCCTGTGATAATCTTTATCTTGTTTTAGTCTCAGGGAAAGAGTGATCTCATAAAATGAATTGGAAATATACCCTCCTCCTCGTATGTTTTGGAAGAGTTTGCAATGAGTTGGTATTGGTTCTTTCAGTATTCGATAGAATTCACCAGTGAAGGTTCCACGCCTGAGCTTTTATTAGTTGGTAGCTTTTTTGTGTGTGTGTGTGTGTGATCCTAGGGACTGAACCTAGGGCTTCTCATATGCTGGTAAGTAGGTGTTTTACCATTGAGTTATATCCTTGGCTCTTTTAAAATTTCATTTATCTTTTTCATTGGTTTGTTTTGAGACAGGGTCTTACTATGTAGTTCAGGCTGGCTTTCAGTTCACTGTGTAGCCTGCACTCTTGGCGATCCTCTTGGCTCAGCTTCGAAAGTGCAGGGATTACTGTACAGGCATGCACCACCATGCCTAGCTCTTAAATTTTATTTTGAAAAAGGCTCCTGTTAAATTTCTCTGGCTGGCCTCAAATTTGTGAGCCTCCTGTTTCCAGTAGCTGGGATTAAATATGTGTGACACCATGTATGGATAATTGGCAGTTTTGTTGGTTTGGTTGTTTGTTTGGTTTTTTTGGTGGAATGGGGATTGAACTTAAGGCCTTTGCACTGAGCTACATGACCACCAAGTTGCTCAAGTGCAGGCTGAGGCTGGGATTGAATTTGGATCCTCCAGCCTCAGCCTCCCAGAGTATTGGAATTATAGGTGTGTACCACCATGCCTCAACAGTATTGTTTTGCTTTTTTTAAGCACTAATGCAATCTCTTTGCTTGTTGTGGTTCTATTCGGATTGTATATTTTTCTGGGGTTAGTTCCATTAGTTTATGTGTTTCTAGGAATTTGTCCATATCATTTTAGTTATCTAATTTATTGTCATAGTTATTCATAGTATTATCTTACCTACCTTTGTCTGTTTCTCTCTCTCTCTGTCTCTCCCTGTCTTTCTCTCTTTCTTTCTAGTACTAAGGGTCAAACCCAGGGATATTCTATCACTGAGCTATAACCTCAGTTTTAAAAATTTATTTATTTTTAAAATTTGAGACAGGGTCTTGCTAAATTGCCCAGATAGGACTCAGACTTCTGGTCCTCTCCCAGTGTTATCCTCTCAGTGCTGGGATTATAGGCATCTGCATCTGACTCTTTATTTCTCACTGATCAGTAGTAATGTCCTTTATTTTATTACTAGCTTTTACTAATTTTAATAGTTGAGTTTTCTTTTTCTCTCCTTTAACTTAGCTAAAGTTTTAAAAAAATCTATTAATCTTTTTTAGAGAACCAAAGTTTGTTGTCTATTTCCTGTATTTGTGTTCTCTAAGTAATTTTCACTATAATCTTTTCTTTCTTTATACTTTCTGGGGAAGTACTCTACCACTGAGATACATGTCTAGCCTCCTTATGTAATATCTTAATGTGAAATATTAGGTTATTAATTTGAGATGTTGTTTTTAATGTAACCATTTACTACAATATATTTCATTCCAAACACTGCTTTTAACTGCATCCATAATCTTTGGGATGCATGTATTCATTTCTTCATTTTCATTCATGTCAGAACATTTCTGCTGGGCGTGTTGGTGCACACCTGTAATCCCAGTACTTGGAAGGCTGAGGCAGGAGGATTGCTTCGAGTTTGAGACCAGCCTGGTCTACTTAGTGAGTTCAGAGCCAGCCTGAACCCTGTCTTAAAACAACAACAACAAAACAAAAAAAATTCCTAAAAACATTTTCTAATTTCTGTTTTGGTTTTTGGTGAGCTGCTCAGGCTAGCCTCAGTCTTGTGATTCTATTGCCTCAGCTTTTCAAATGCTGGGATTGTAGGCATGAACTACTATGCCTGGCTGTGATTTCTTTTTTGGCCTATTAGATATTTGGGATCATGTTAATTTCCGTATCTGACCTTTCTTTAGTTCTCTGTTATTTATTTTTAATTTTATTCCACTGTGGTTGAAAAATACTTTGTATGATTTTAATCCTGACTTTATTGAAGCTTGGTTTACAACTTATCTTATGGTCTATTTTGGAGACTGTTCCATATGCCCTTGAGAAGAAAGTATATTCTTCTGTTCCTATGACCTTTCTGATTTTTATTTTTCATTCATTCATTCATTCATTCATTCATTCATGGTGCTAAGGATGGAACCCAGGGCTCTGCAGATGCTAAGCAAGTGTTCTAACGCAGAGCTGCACCCCCAGCCCCTGGTGGCTGACTTTTTATCAGTTATGATCAAGAGATAACAGAATGACATTTTTTGAAGTACATAATGAAACTTACCTACAAAAATTAAAAGTTGGCAATTGTGTATCAACTTCAGTATATTCATGAAAATTTATACATCTATAAATCTAATGATCAATGGTTAATATTGGTCTAGAAGTTGAAGAGATTAATTGATAGTTATGGTAAGAATCGAGGGTGACCCAAGAATTATTGTCAGATCTCTTATCTCCTGGCTTCCAATTCACTGTTATTTATAGATAGGAAAACCTGGATCAAAATTAAGATAGATGTCTTCAAAGGTAGTCTTCAGGACCAGCGCTCACCTTGCAACTATCCTTCCTTCTTTGTACATCTCCAGCACAAATCATGTCTTCCTTGATGACTGGCTCCAGATATGGGAAGAAAATGCCAATTGGGTTATAGAGACGTTCACAGTCCTGGTGGTTAATGACTGGGATTTCCACTTCCTGGAGGGTAGAAGGGTAATTTTTATCTGTAGAAAAAGGCGGAAATGAAAGGTTAAAGCAACCTGAGAAGCTGCTGGGGCAAATAAGTCACTTTGCAATCATATTCTCTTATAGAAAGAACTTTTGGTACAGTTGATTCTAAAACAGTGGATAATGCAAAATCTTTTTTGTTTGAATATTTTCTCTTGTGTCAGTGTTCTAAATGAAAAGTAATTCTGATAACTTCTGATTCAGTAAAGATGTGAGTATCCTAAAACTTTTCCTTTCCCATTTTCCTGCTCCCAGATCAGTTCTTATCTTTATGCCATCTTGGGAAAAAGTTTATATAACAGTTTAAAAATAGGTAAAAACACTGGACTCCCTCCAAATGTTAAGTCAAATTATCAAACCTCTTTTTTTTTATAGTGATTTTTAAAATTTACTACATGTTTGCAGTGCATTGTGAATATATTCGTTGTGGATAGTTGGTAACTGAACATGGCACATCTTTTTTCTTTTCACATCCCATTCCCTTTCCTCCTCCCTTCTCCCACTCTCCATCTCTTAGTTCCCTTCTTGTTTCCCAAAGAGCTATCTCCCTATGGTATTTTCTATTGTCTTTTTATTTTGCTCTTTTATTTATGCTTTGAGTTTCTCATATAAGAGAAACCATACTATTTTTCAGATGGTGTATCTGATTTACTTTACTTAACCTTATGGATTCAAGGTGCATCTGTTTTTCTACAAATGTGTCAAGTTTGTCTTTGTTTATGGTAGAGTATCCATTTATCTGTTGATGGTCATATAGGCTACTTGTGAATTGTGCTGCTATAAACATGGGTATGCATGAATTACTGTAATTTGAGGCTTTTAACTCTTTCAGAAAGATACCTAGAAGGGGAATAGCTCGATCAAATGGAATTTGTATTTTAAGTTTTTAAGGAATCTCTATACCGATTTCCATAGTGGTAGTTGCATGCTCACCAACAAGGTGGAAGGGTTTCTTTCCTCTTCCCCTCCCCACAGCCTGGCCAGTATTTATTGTTATTTGATTTCTTGATGATGGCCATTCTTTTTGGGGTAAGATGGAATCCTAGTGTTGTTTTAATTTGCATTTCTCGATTGGCCAGAAATAGTGAACTTTTTTCCTTGTATTTATTGGCCATTTGTACTTATTCTGAGAAGTTTCTATTCATTTCAGTTGCCTATTGGGTCTTTTATTCCATAGGTCTAATTTTCTTTTGAGTTCTTTGTGTATTCTAGATATTAATCCTGTCTAAGGTATGGCTGGTAAAAATATTTTCCCATTCTGTAGGTTGTCTTCACTCTGTTTCCCTTGGTGTGCAGAAGCTTTTTAATGTGATATAATTCTTTGAGTTGATTTTCAATATTATTTCTTGTGCAATTGGAGTCCTATTCAGAAAGTCCTTGCCTGTGCCTATGTCCTACCTTATCTCCCAGCAGGTTAAGTGTTTCTGTTTTAATATTTAGATCTTTGAAGCATTTTGATTTTAATTTAGTACATGGTGAGACAGATACAGGTCTAGCTTCAATCTTCTGCATGTGAATTCCCAGTTTTCCTAGCACCATTTACTAAAGAGGCTGTCTTTCCCCCAGTGTATGTTTTTGGCCTCTTTGTCAAAGATCAGGTGACTGAATATGCCTGGGGTTGTTTTTGTATCCTCTATTCCATTGGTCCATATATCTGTTTTTGTGCCAGTACTGTGTTGTTGGTATCACTGTAACTTTGTAATACATCTTTGCTCACATTACATAGGATTGCTTTTTCTATTCTGGGTCTCCTCTGATTCCGTATGAATTTTAGGATTGTTGTGTGAGGAATTTTGTTGGTATTTTGATGGAGATTGCATTCAATCTGTATATCAGTTTTGGGAGTATGGCCATTTTGACAATGTTGGTTCTGCCTGTGTACAAACAGGGGATGTCTTTCCATTTTTCTGATGTCCTCCTCGATTTCCTTTTTCAGAGTACTGAGATTTTTATTGTGTAGGTCTTTCACTTCCTTAGTTAAGTGAATTCCTAAGTATTTAATTTTCCTTTCTGCTATTGTGAATGGTATTGTTTCCCTAATGTCTTTCTCAGTAGGTTCAATATACAGGAATACTGTTTATTTTGTGTGTTGATTTTGTTTCCTGCTACATGGTTGAATTTGATTATTCTCAGGGTCTTTTAATGCAATTTTTTGAGCATTCTATGTTAAAGGATCATGTCACCTGAAAATAGTGGTAATTTGACTTCTTCCTTTCCTATATGTATCCCTTTTATTTATTTCTCTTGCCTAATTGCTTGGGCTAATGATAAACCTCTTTTTGAGAGAGGTGATTATGTAGTTAAATTGGTAGTGTCTGCTCGTTCAGCTATAGCTAGATTCTAGGCAAGGCAGGTATAAGAGTGAATGGAACAGGGCCGGGGATGTAGCTCAGTGGCGCTGTGCCTGCCTTGCAAGCACAAAGTCCTGAGTTTGATGCCCGGTAACAACAACAACAACAACAACAACAACAAAGTAAATGGAATAAACATATGAATGTCAAAAAAACTTTTTGAAGACTTGTAGATGATATCTTTAGTTTGGTCTGATTTTGTTGAAAAATATTTGTAGTAGTGAGGATATGTCTAGAATGTGAATGTTCTGGAGTAGGTACAAAAGGGTAACACATAAACCCATGGTGGTGAACCTATGTGCCAGAGTTGGCTGTTTGTTATCATTGAAAGTTCTAAAAGGTTTGCCATCACTGATAAACCAACCCTTTTTTCTGCCCATTCTCACCTTTACCTCCCGTAAGTTGTCCCCATCCAGTCACCCAACAAGAAGCTGGGATTTTCAGTGGCTTTGTGACATTGGGCAAGCAGATGGGCAGGATGAGAGAAGTGAAGGGTACTCGGTAGGACAGTTTCAGCAGGGCAATGTCTGCATTTGAATTTTTGTGTTTTGGATGAATGACAACTTTGGACACAAGGTACTCCGTGACGCTAGTGGAGAATTCTGCTTTAACTGATCCCATCCACACCCTATATGCGAAAGTCATTGACCTAAAGGAAAAAAGGATACCATAAAAGCAGTGTGCTTATGGCCTATAGGTGGTTCAGAACAAGTTGCCTATAGGTAGCACCAAGTCTCTAAGCAAAAAAAGGAGGGTAGCACATGGGAACTTAACCAGGGCTGGGTCGGTTAATTTGGGGATGGAGTTGGTTTGTCCTCTTCTCTCTTCCTCTCCCCGCTCCCCTCCCCTCCTCTCCCTTGAACACTCTTCCTGTGCTCTCAACCTACATGTTTATGTCCTGCATTTTCTCTCCTGCATACTTCTCCCATTCTCCATGGTTTCCCCAGCACTGTATGCTTTGTAGTCATTGCTCTTTATGCCAGGTTTGATTTGTTCTGAACACTAAACCTTTATTTCCAAATAAAAATTTAAAGCAAAGCATAATGCAGGTTATACATATACAAATTGAAATTTTCAGGTAGTTTGATAAGATGTACAAAAGAAAGAGAGAAAAATAAATTCACTGTTCCAAGATCCCAGTTTACACTGTTCAGAGGCAATCATTTTCATCTCTTTTAACCCTTACTAATTTCCCTAGTATTTTCAAGAAATCCTATATATTTCGTATATATTGCTGTTTCTTACCCCCCTATTTTAGAATATTCAGTTTCTGATGTAAAAGGTGAGGATTGAACTTCCTCTTCCTGCTCCTTCTCCTTCTCCTTCCTCTCTTCTCTTCCTCTTCCTTCCCCTCCCTCTTTTTTTCCTCTTCCTCCTCTTCCTCCTTCAATACTAAGAACTGAACCCATGAGCACTCTACCACTGTCCTACATCCCTTGTACTTTTTTAAAGTTTATTTTGAGGTCTGGCCTTTCTAAGTTCCCAGGCTGGCCTTGAACTTGGAATCCTCCTGCCTCAGACTCTTGACAAACTGGTGTAACAGGTGAGCATCTAGGATTGAGCTTTCCTACTCATCACAGTCCACCCCATTCATCTTCTGAACTAATATTATCAAAAGTGTTTAGTTAAGCCTGGGATAGTGGCCATGCCTGTAAGGGAGACTGAGACAGGAGGAGCACAAGTTGCCCAGCCTAGGCAACTCAGTGGTTTAGTGAGATCCTGTCTGAAAATTTTTAAAGGGGGGAGGGGACTGGAGATACAGTTCAGTGTGAAGGCCCTGATATCAGTCACGAGTGCCACACACACACACACAAATTGTTAGATTTGTATGTTTTTGTTTCTTTGTTTTGTTTTGTTTTGTTTTGTTATCAGGAATCAAACTCGGGACCTTGCACACGTGCAGGGCAGGCAGCGGAACCACTGAGCTAAATCCCTGGCCCTAGATTGGTATTTAATATGTATGTTCCTATGACTATACAAACATTATTCACTACTGCTCATATTGGAACCAGTGAATGCTTTTCTTGTAAAATCTTTTGCTTTTCCTAGAGTTAATAATGTGGTCCCATGTCTATTTTCTTTATACCATCACTAATTTATCATTTTTCCCCTAAACTGTCTGTCAAAAGTATAAATCTCTTCTCAATATGTCCAAACCTGTCAGTCATTCTATTATGGTGACCCTTTTTGGAGCCCTCTGCCCTCACATTCCAATCTATACCTCTCTGCCTATCATCTTGGTACTCTCCTTTTTTTTTTTTGAGATAGGGTCTTGCCGTGTAGTTTAGGCTAGTTCTACCTCAGCCCCTCAAGTGCTGGGACTATAGGCCTGAAACATTGTGATTTTCTTAGGTGTTCTGTTTTGTGTTTTATCTTTCCTCTTTTGTCTGGACGCCATGTTATCTTTGGTTTTTTTTGGTACCGGGGATCAAACTCAGGACCTTGCACTTGGGAGGCAGGCAGCTGAACCACTGAGCTAAATCTCCGGCAACTCCATGTTATCTTGTTTCCCCCTCTTTTATTTTGATGAAACACATTCTCCTATGGCTTCCTGGGGAAATGTGCATGAGAGGTAACATTTTTGCTATTTTACATATTTGAAAACGTCTTATTTCTATCAAATACTTAATTCACAGTTTGTGTATGGGTAAAATTCTAGGTTGGAAATCATTTCCCCTTAGCATTTTGAAGTCATTGCTCCATTTTCTTTGAGCTTTCACTGTTGTTACTGAAGTTATTTTGATTTCTGTGCATATTAGTTATCCACTGTCGCATAACAAGTTGCTGCAAACCTTAGTGGCTAAAGAAGAAATATTTCTGTTAGATTCTGGGGCCAGGAATCAGGTATAACTTAATTCTGTGTGTGACTGCAGTCGGGGGGCTGCAGTCATCTCAGGGCCTGAGTGAGGGAGCATCTGTTCCAGGTTCACTTTTGGCTTTGGGTCCTCACCAGCTGTCGGCTGGAGATGCCAGTGCATCTGGACCTCTCTGTGGGGCCACTCAGCACGGGACAACTTGCTCCTCTCAGGCACTGACTCTGAGAACTCAGACTGTGTTTGTGACCCACAGAAGCTTAAGACAAAGCCCCTGATTGGTATTTATAAAGTGATTTGGCAAAAAGTAAAGAAAAATTCCATGCCCTATGGCTAGTAGCGCCTAGTTTTAGAGCCCAAAGTGACCCATCTTATTACTTTCAATGGCCTATGGCATAGATGGCGAAGCCTTTTTTTTTTTTTTTTCTTTTTCTTTTTTGCGACAGGGTCTTGCTATGTAGTCCAGGCTGGTCTTGAACTCACTATGTAGCCCAGGCTGGCCTTGAACTTACAGCGATCTTCCTGCCTCAGCCTCCCAAGGGCTGGGATTACAGGTATGTGCCACCACATCCAGCATGGTGAGGCTTTTAGAGCTTTCAGTGATACAAACAGCCCGCCGTGGCATGCGTGCCATAGGTTTGCCACCAGTAGTCTATGGGACCAGCCTGTGTGCTGGCTACCGGTTAGAACTCACGGTTGGATGCAGTGTGCTGCTGTCAGTACCCATCTCTCACTGAGGAGGGACCCCCCACAGATGTGGCTAGGGCCAAAGCGTAGGCTGACCTGCCAAGGCCAGCGCCCCACGGCAGCATCTTGGCCACCCACAATGCGGCCAGAGTATGCAGGTCGTCCACACACTAGAGAAAGAAGGGAAAGGGGCTGGAAATCTGCGAGTCCTGTTCCCCAGGTCCCCATCTGTACATCATCCCCGAACTCCTGTCCCTTCCTCGGAGCCCTCCCTGGACTCCAGACTCCGTCCTATTCCAGTTTCAAACCCAGCAGTACTGAACCCAGGTGGAGGAGACCACTCACCTGACTGCAGATTTCTCCCTCTGGTAAAAGAGCCTGGGAGAGAACCTAAGGAAGACAGGTGGGATCATTGACATAGTAACACATTGCAGATCTAGATGCTTCTGAGATTAGTGTTGAAAGCCAAAATTGATAACTGTGTATCTGTCGTTAGGAGTCTTGACAATGCCATACTTCCTTGCCTTTTAAGGCTGCTATAATCTAACTTTTACTTGATTCAGGGTCATCATCAGGAATATTCACTATTTTGGGACATAAATACAGTGATGTGCTCAGATGCTTTTGGGATTTGTAAAGTGTTTATTTTGTGCTGTTTTCTTTAACTGAATGGGCATTTTATAGTACTTTTTTTTTCTACTGTTACCTCTTGGTTCCTCTCAGCATACCCATCTTTTAAATCAGCATAGGCCAGAAAAATAAACAAACACACTTCTGCCAGAAGCACTTTCAGTTCCCTCTGCCCAAAATGTAGTTTTCCTGGATCCTCTTAGCTAACATATTTATTTCCATCAAGTCCTGTCTTGTCTTCTCTTGTCTTGTCTACCTCATCTCATCTCATCTTACCTATCTATGGTATTGGGGATTTGTACCCAGGGCCTTGCACATGCTAGGCTAGTACTGTATCATTGAGTTATGTCCCCCACATCCTTTAAGTCTTTCTTCAAACAACTCCTTAGTGATGCTGCCTTTGACCACCTTACTTAAAATTACAACGTATCTTTTGCCCCTGAACATTTTTGTTTGGTTGGTTTTTGAGGCAGGATCTCACTATGTAGCTGACACTGGATTTGAACTCTGGGCATTCCTCCTGCCTCAGCCTCCAGAGTGCTGGGATTACAGGCATGCGCCACCACACCCTGCTTATTCTTGAACCTTAGATGCCCTTTTCTTTGTATAGTACTTATTACCTTCTGACATGCCTTATGTTTACTTATTGAAGGTGAACATTGATTATAAGTCCCATGAAGACAGGGTTCCTAGCTTTGTTTATTGCTATATCTATCCAAGAGCATTAGAGCAGTGCTGGGCATATAGTGAGCTCTCCCAAGTTTCCCCAGGTTATGTAATTAGTAACTAACTTCCCGTGGATAAAATATTATTCAGTAGAATCTATACGATGGCTTCTTGAGTCTGAAAACTCTGCCAGCCCTAATGACTCACCCAGCAAGAGCAGCAGCAGGACGGCTTGGCCAGCTGGGCCCATGTCTCTGTCCTCAGGAGCAGCACTTCCTGCTTCTGTGACCTAGACTCCCAGTATTGGGAGGGTGGGGGTGGGCAGGACCGGCTTCTCCTAGGTGGAATCCCCTAGGATCTTGGTCTTCCTGACCTGTTCTGAAAGGACTAGACTTCAGAAGAGCAGCTGCAAGACCCCAAGGAGCTGGGCCTGAGGCCCCTGCTGTGTAGGGAAACAGGGTAGGGTATCTGTCTGGGATTTCTTCCTGCAGGAGGGGACGGAAGGACAGGAGGGGTGGGTAGAGAAGCTGGTGAGGGGGCTGGAAGGAAGAGGACACTAGAAAAGAGATGGGAAGTGGGCACGATTGTTCAAAAGCAAGAAATGGGAAAGAGGAAATTAACTCAGTACCTGGTTCATTTTTCTCCTTGCCTTTGCTGTTGTTGTGTTTGTTACAGTGTTAGGCATAGAATGTCAGATTTCCCGAAAAGTAGACTGTAAGGCAGACTTGTTGGCAGGGCATTTATTGGATGTGGCCTCAGGATCAGCACCTCTTCAAACTGGGGGCAGGAGGGAGAGCAGGATTGGGTAGGGGGAGAGTTGATTGTGATGCGTTGGTTCAGAGGCCTCAGCCCATCCAAGTTGCCCTGGAGGTGAAGTAGCCCTCTGGAGATGTCCTGAACTGAGGCGAGAAGAATGCGCCCACAGACTTCTGCTGCCTGGATGAGGTTGCCGCCATGAAGGGGCACTACCTTGGATGAGGTGGCAGTGCTGCCAGTTCTTAGGATGGGAATTAGCCGTGACCTGTCAGCAGGCAGCACTCTCGTGGCCTGGGGGATGAATGCTTCCATTCTGAAGGGGTTTCAGTGTGACACATCACAGCATCCACCACAGAGGGCTTCCCTGTGCTGTTATGTTTGCTGTACCGGTTGTGGGACGGGTAGTAGATCTGGGGAGGTAGAATTCAATAAAGTTGCACTCCAGAGGCAGGATGATTTCCATGAGTTCAAGGCCAGCCTAAATTACATAGTGAGATCCTGTCTCAAAAAACAAAACAAAGAAAAAAAATCTTGCTATTTTGGGACCCACTTAAAGTCAGCTTAAATCAAGAGGGGTTTATTTTAAAGATGGTATTTTAGGCTGAATTATGTCTTGCCAAAAGTTCATGGGAAGACATAATTTGAGTTCCTAACCCCTAGTAAACAGAAGGTGACCATATTTGGAGATAATGGTTTTTAAAGAGGTAATTATGTTAAAATGAAGGCAATAGGGTGGGCCCTAATCTAACATGAATGGTGTTCCTACAAGAAGAGGACATTTGGACACAGTTTATGTACACATGGAAAAGACAGCTGTCTACAAGTCCAGGAGGCCTGGAATAAATCCATCTTTCATGGTCCTAAGAAGGAACCAGGCCCACTGGCACCTTGAACTTGGACTCAGCCTAGAGAACTGTGAGAAAATGTTTCTTTTGGGTGAGGTGGTATTTGTTACAGCATGGAATACAGATATCCTCAGAACAGTGAGAAGAGAGTAACAAGGATGCAGAGAGAAATCCTATGACAGACCTAGAGACTAGAGCCCAAAGGGAGCTCTGTATTCATGGTAGGTTGGGAGTGTGTAGCAGCTCGTAGCTCATTCTGGGTTTCCATCATTTACTATGATTTTATTATTTATGAGGACTGTCTTAGTGCTTTTCACCTTAATTTTTTTTCCCGAAACTAATATCACTACCTGCAGTTTTCTTCTCATTTCATTAAAATTTTTTAAATATTTTTATTAGTACTGATTAATTTTAGAAAATACTGGGTTTCAATGTATGTTTTTTGATCATATCCATCCTCCCTGTTTGCTTCTGCCCACATAGCTGAAGGGTACACAGAGTAAAGGTGACGGTGAGAGATTAAGACAGACAAAGAGATATAATAAGGTATAGGTGGGGCCAGGTTTATTTATAGTGGCCGTGGTAAAGGAGGTGCAGGGGAGGTAAAGGTCCTGGGCTGTAACAGGAGCCGGAGCCGAGGTCTGCAGGACCTCACGTTGACGTTTCTCCAGCGGCGCGTGGGAGGGGAGAGAGACTGTCCTCTTCTCGCCCAGGCCTTGCTCCACCACGCCCTCTTGTCGCCTGTTCTCCGTCCGGGCCCTGCCTCATCCTCATCCTCGGGAGGAGGCGAGTTAGCCTGGCCGTAGTGATGATCTACAGCACAGTGCTCCCAGCACCTGTTAGCCTCCTGTGCACCTCCCTCCTCCTCTTCTTCCCTTCCTCTTGTGTGATAATAGTCTCCTTTCTACTTTTTTCTTTTTCTTTTTCTTTTACTTTTCTTTCTTTTTTTTTTGTACCGGAGATCGAACTTGGGTTCTTGCGCTTGCGCAGCAGGCAGCGGAAACCACTGAGCTAAATTCCCGGCCCCGCCCTTCTATTTTTAAGTCATCATTTTTAGATTGCACATATTAGGGAAAACTTGATACTTGTCTTTGTGAATCTGGCTTATTTCTGTCAGCATAATCTCCAGTTTCATACATTTTCCTGCACATAAAACTTTGTTCTTCTTTGTGACTGGATAGTATTCCTTGTGTATATACAGTATGCCACATTTTCTTAATCTAGTCATTTGTGGATGGGTGCCTAGCTTATTCCATATCTTACTCATGTAAGTATAGTTTTTTAAAGAATGTCAGACCTTGCTGGGTGTGGTGACTCAAAACGTTGTAATCCCTGCACTCAGGGAAGGTGAGGACCACAAGTTTGCACCCATTAAATCACTAAGTGATTTAATGAGATCTCATCTCAAGATAAAAGTAAAATTTAAAAAACCTGGGAATATAGCTTAGCATGAAGGCCCTGGCTCCAATCCTTAGTACTCAAAAAAAAAGAAAAGAAAAGAAAAGAAAACAAACACTGCCACCAACAAAAACATCTAAATCTTGGAGATTTGCCTCCAAGCCATGTTTAGAATAAAAGTGGCTTATTATTCATCTTGTAGAGATCACAAAGCTCTCTATGGATGATTGGTTAGCCTGCCTGCCCTCCTTTTCTCAGCACTGGGAATTGAGCACAGGGGTAGATCTTCCTTTTGGCTTATCAAAAGGACAAAATTTGACCAGGTATTCTAATGTCTTGTGATTGTCCCAGGTCTTTGGACTTTTTTATCATTGGACAAATCTGAGGTACTACCTTCTTTATGTAATAGTTGAATTTCTCACCCAATGTCTTTTCCTTTTTGTTTAAATGTTTTATAAAAATATATTTTTGTTTTGATGTCTGTTAAATTTTAAATTTGGAAATAAACTCTTTTGAATGTAACTACAGTACCATTCTGAAAACTGCAAGGTAGAAGGAAAGAATTAATAGTTACTCTGCTTTTCTTCCACAAACTGTACTTCACAGTAACAAAATAGGCTTAATTGGTAAGGAAAGAATTCCAGCTAAGAAATGTAGCTGGACCAGTAGAATCAAAATCACCACCTTCATCCCCTTATGACATAATTGATTATCAGTAGTTGAAAGCCTTAGATGAAAGATTGATGGAGCACTTAAGCTGTTGTTATTTGAACCCTCTGCTCAGTCTCAGCATCACTAGAAGTGGGGCAAAGTAGACACATACCACTTGACGTCACATAGTATAGCGCCCATAATACTGCCCACAAAGTATTCTTGTTTTTTTTTTTAAGTGAAACCTGAATCTCTAAAGCTATTTTTACTTACAGAAAATACGGAGGATAAAAGATTAAGTTAAATTACAATACAAGGAAATAATCAAATTAAGAGTGTGGGACATTTTATAAAGCAACTGACTAGTTTCTCTAATAATCCAACCTTATGAAGGTAAAAAGGGAAAGAGACCATTATGGCTTGTGTCTAGTTGTCCACCCAAAGCCTCATGCAGTCATGGGGGGCACTTTTTTTTTTTTTTTTGTACTAGGGATCAAACTCGGAACCTTGCGCTTGCAAGGCAGGCAGTGGAACCACTGACCTAAATGCTCGGCCCTTATGGGGCACTTTTAAGAGATGGCTGCATCTAGAGTATATGGTACTGGGATCAAGGGCATGTGATTACTAAATCAGTCCACTGATTGGTTAAGGGTGTGAGTGCTACACCTGCTGTAGGGTGGTCAGCCTGCATAAAATATAAAGGACAGAAAGAGGGCTAATGTGCTCTCGCCTGCCTGCTTGCTGTGGACTGTTTCTGCTCTGCAGTGCCCCTCTGCTGTGTGCCACCCTGTCTTGGAGCCAGCTGACTATGAACTGAAACCACTTCAAACTGGGAACCAAATAAACTTTTCGTGCCTTAACTTTGAGTGTTGGGTATTTTACCTTAGCAATGAGAAAAGTACCTAAAACAGAGACTACTCTAGGTTATAAGAAACTTAAGAGACATAAGTATGTGTGGCCTTTGTTTGCATCTTAATTTTAACAGAAGAACTCTAAAAAAGACCTTTTGATATAGATAAAGAAATTTGATAATGGACTGGGTATTAGATGGGATTAGTTTAATCTTTGTAGGTGTGACAGTCTCATTGAATTATGCAAGGAAATACCTACTTTTAAGGAGAAGATTTTAACCCTGCACATTCTAAATCCAACCTAAAATCTTGTCATTTTGGAGGTGGCTGCTCACGTTTTCAGTCCCAGTGCTGTTCTGTTATTTTCCTGGGTATGACAGCAGGACCTTAAGGAAGTCACCTTTTACCTAAGGCCTCTATTTTCCTGTTGTACCATGAAAGCACTGGAATCAATTGATGACCTAAGAGATTTTTGTTTTTGTTTTGTATTGGGTATTGAGCTCAAGGCTTTTGCAGTAAGCTACATCCCCAGCCCTTTTTTATTTTGGGGGGTCTTGCCAAGATAAGCTTGAACTTGTGATCTTCCTGCCTCAGCCTTGCAGAATTCTAGGCATTATAGGCATATACCACCACACCTGGTTTCAAAGATTCTTTATAAAGGTAACATTCAACTGTGCATTGCTTATCACCACACTCTGTCTTTGTCTGTTGCCCTATTACCCTTCTACAAATATTTTTCTTAATTTGGTTCAGCGATTAAGAAACTCTTTGAATCTGCCATTTTACTGCTCCCTTGGCTCTTATAAAATATGGAAGTGCCAAGGAGACACCTGAAGACAGCTTAGAGCTTTCTACCTCTCTCATCACACTGTGTCCAAGTCTTAGATTCTGTCTCCAGATCATTATTTTATGTTATCATTAAAGATAGTTGATTAATTTTTTTTGAGACAGGGTCTCCCATGTAGTCCAGGCTGGCCTCAAACTCTCCACCCTGCTGTTTTAGCCCCCTGAGTGCTGGGATTACAGGTTTGCATCACCCTCACCTGGCTAAAGTTATCCTTAAATGCCTCTGTAGGGCTGGGGATTTAGCTCAGTGGTGCCATGCCTGATTCACAAACACAAGGTCCTGAGTTCGATCCCCCTCCATCTTTGCAAAATATGTATAATAATATCCCACAAAATTTTTGTAAGAATTAAATGAGATGTCATAGAATTAATGCTTAGCTTGGTTTTGACCTGTTGGGACGTGCAATAATAATTGCTGTTTTTATTATTATTGTCATTGAAGCTGATATTACAAGTTTATTAATTAGATTCTGGGTAAACAATATTTTGGTGATGGTTAGAATTGATATTGATGGCCCCTGTAGACCAGGGTTTCTTAGCCATGGTGCTGTTGACATTTTGGGCCAGATGGTTCTTTGTTGTGAGGCAGCTATCCTGTCATTATAGAATGTTGAGCAGCGTTCCTGGCCTCTGCCTACTGGATGGATGGTACCACCTACTTTTAGTCGTGACATGTCTCCAGACATTGCCAGGTGTCCCCTGCAAGGGCA